AACTGCCTGCTTACAGACTGTAGGTTTTAGGCCACTACTGTTATGCCCATCTGTAGTACTAAAAGTCCAGAGGTGTCTCAGAGATTCTTTAGGCCTAATGGTATTTCACAAACTTCTCATCTCATTGATGAGGCTAATGGCTGTGCTATGATGTGACAATCTTTGTGGAAGTTTGCTTTGAAATCTTTGATTTATACTATAGAAATACTGTGATTTTAATAATATATTCTTATTGTTTGAAAGGTTATTACCATATTTTGTGATATTGACATTTTAATATAATACTATGATACTGTTATTGCTTTACCATGTCATTTGTATTGTTCTAATTCAGTTTAGATGTCAGGTACACTCCAAGAGAGTAAAACCCCCGAAGACCAAAATGTTGTTTTTCAGTCATTCTTCTAGACCAAAAACATCCCCTTTTCCTTAAAATATGTCCATTCCGGGGCTCGGTTAGCATGTACAAGGCTGAGTCCTTACTGCAGCGGCTTGGGTTCAAATTCAGGCAGCAGCCCTTTGCTATGTGTCACCCCCCCATCTGTCTCCCTCTTTCCTCTCTATCCTGTGTCCTATCTAATAAAGAATAAAGAATTTTTAAAAATGCTCAGATTAAACATGATGAAGAAGAAGTGCTTGGTGAGAAAGAGTCTGATCTGATGAAGATCTGACTGTAGTGGATGAGGTGGCTGGTTTTATTACAGCCATCAGCATAACTACAATGTAAAGACACACAATAACACAAACTAACAGATAGACCAGAGAAGTAAAATTCCTCTTTTTGTCAAGGGAGTCTGGTGGCTTTGACAAGAACACTATAGTGACTCTTTCTTATTAAACAAAAAGGATCTTACTCTTTATAAAAAGGTCTTTCTCTGAAGTGATCTTTTCCATCATGTTGTCAGGCACAAATAATCACAATCTGAGCCTGTCAGCGGCAAAAACAAGCACTTTAGTGGACGTACTTTCACAGGGCACAATTGCCCACAAGGATTACATTGCAACACTGTCTCGCTGCTGCTGACTGCAGCGCACTTGCTTAGTCCTGGACCAATTTCTAAAAATGGTGTCCCAATTAGTCACATAGCCCCAAAAACATGGAAAAATAGAGTCCAGGTCGAAAACTACCAAAGTAACACTTTAAACGCCCACACACCTGTGCACCATCCACGCAGGTATTTTTGCTTATATTACCTGATAATTCATTCTCAGAACTACACCATGTAAAACCTAGCATTTACTTTTGTGAGTAGCAAAGCAAAGGGAACTACAACTTTATCTCATTATACAAAATGATAATCTACCTTGTACCCTATACATGTGTAATCCTTGTGCCTGATGTCAAAGCCCAGGGATTTATGTATTCAAGGTGGGTTAATTATTACACAGACGGAATAATTAAAGGATAATTTTCTAAATAGAAACTTGAAAAGTTAAAAATATTGCCTGTTAATGTAAGTACTACTATTGAATCTACAAGCTTATACATATGTAAGTATATAGACTATAGCCAGATAGCCTAGTGTGCAAATCACATTATTATATGATAACCAGATTTGTACACACACACAGTTTCTGATTTGGAAGACAATTTATGCTTCTTAATTGTGTTCCATGTCATATGGCACTGCTCAACCCCCCAACCGGTCGAGGCAGATGACCACGCACTCTGAGTCAAGGTTCTGCTCAAGGTTTCTACCCGCTAAAAGAGTTTTTCAAGAATCAAGAAACTTTGTCACTGTAGGCATACAACGAAAATTAGTCTGGCGGCTCTCAGTGACCAGCATCATCAGCAGGAGGATAAAAATAGATAAGGAAACAATATAATAAAAAGAAATGTAAGTATAAATATAAGTTTAAATATAAATATGAAAAGGGAGGCACGTGGAATGCAGGTAAGCAAGGAAAGTGGAAACTGTCAAAAAAGTTTGACAGTAAACAGTAGAGACATGAGATGGATGGTATATACCCTATGTGCATGTGCCTTTTGTAATAAAGTATGCATTAGCAGCAGATAGATAAATTAGTCTATAATTTATTTATAGTTAAAGTTATTTAAATTTTATTATTCTATATATAGATGAGTTAGATTTTTAAGTCTATAACTTCTGTGACAGGGTCGGGGTGATAGAGGCTACAGCTTTGGAAAGAAGCTGTTCCTCAGTCTGTTTGTTCAGGCTATGATGGCTCTGTATCTCTTCCCAGATGGCAATGGGACAAACAAGCTGACATGGGTGGGTTGGGTCCAAGCTGATGTTGCAAGCCCTCTTGCGTAGACGACTTGCATTCACTGTGTCCAGGTTCGGAAGCACAGTTCCCGCAATAATTTGTGAAGTTCTTATCACACGGCCAAGCTTTGGGGGTTCTCTGCAGAGCAGCTGGCACACCACACTGTGGCGCAGTGGAAGATGATACTATCTGTGGTGCTTCTGTAAAAGATTATTTGGAGGGAAGTTTAGCCTGTCTAAGTTTTCTTAAGAAGAAAAGCCTCTGTTGAGCTTTCTTCGCCAGGTGGGAGGTGTTGAGGGACTATGAGAGATCTTTTGTTATTTGGAGTCTCAGGAACTTGATGACATTGACACTCTCCACCTCCTCACCATTTATGTGGCGACCGGGGTCTGTTTGTGAGAAAGTCCACAATCCAAAAGCAGAGTGAAGTGGGTGGTCCCAGGATAATGAATTTGAGTACCAGTTTATTAGAGATTATAGTAGTGAAAGCTGAAATGAAGTCAATGAATAACATCCTGATGTGTGTTTTTGGATGCTCCAGGTGGGACAGGACTGTATGAAGTGCAATGGAGACTACATCCTCCGTGGATCTGTTGTCTCAATAGGCAAGCTGGTGTCTGTCCAGATCAATGTGCATGATGGTCTTCATGTACGATGGCACAAGCCTCTCAAAACTCTTTAAAATAACCGTTGTCAGGGTGACTGGGGGGTAGTCATTCATGTCTTTAACTGCTGTTTTCTTGGGAACAGGGAGCATGGTTCCAGATTTAAAACAGGTGGGGACCGCAGCACGCTGTAGGGAAAGATTAAAGATGCGGGTGAACACCCCTGCAAGTTGGTCAGCACATGATTTTGGTTTGCTGCTTTGCTGACACCCTGTCTGGTCCTGCTGCTTTGGTGATGTCAATTCTACTCAGAGCTGATCTCACCTGGGACTGGGTATATGCTCCTCCTCTGTTTGTGGTGTGATACAAGCTCTCGCTCTAGTGTTGTGGCTGTTGAAGCATGCAAAAAACTGGTTCAGGGCATCAGGGAGTGTAGCATCTTGGATGATCTGTGAGGTGCTGCTATTGTAGTCTGTTATAGTTTTTATGCCTCTCCACATGCTACAGGGGTTGTTGTTTTCAAAGTGAACCTCAGTGCGCTGCTTGTACCTGTGTTTAGAGACTCTAATGCCCTTTTGCAGTTCTCTTTGAGCATTCCTGTAGGCCAGCATGTCTGCCCTGAAAGCAGCATCACATGTTTTGAGCAGAGACCCTACACTTACGTCCATGGTTTTTGGTTTGGAAACACCTTTATTGTTTTGGTGGTTAGTACTGTCTTAGTACAAAAGTCTATGTAAGCCAAGACAGATGACGTATATTCCTTCAAGTCTGCTCCCTGTGCACACTTCCCAGTCTGTGTTTTCAAAACAGTTCTGCAGTGATAAGGTGGCCTCTTCATTCCACAGTTGGACAGATTCAACATCTGGTCTGGTTCTGCAGACTAGAAGTTTGTAGGATGGAGTCATTTTCAGTTAGATGAGGTCTGATAAGCCAAGGTGTGGTGATGGGGCGGCTTTGTACGCTCCCGGGATATTTCTGTAGATTTGATCAAGGATATTTTTATTCCTGGTTGAAAAGGGACATGGGCTGAACGATTATTTTATTATTATTCACATACATACATACTCCATCACCTTTACTGGAATCTGCAGTCCTGTCTGCTCTATAAACAGTGCGGCCTGCTGACTCAATAGCTACATAGGGAAATTTGATGTCCAGCCAAGACTCTGTAATGATGTCACACAGCTGTCCATGTTGTTTGAAGTAATCCTCAGTCATAATTCATCCATCTTGTTGACGTGTGACCTGCAGCTGGCGAGGAAGAGACTAAGGCTGGGGTATGTGGGTTAGCCTGTAACTTTTGCTCATAGGCCAGCTTTCTTGATCTCTCATGGAATAGAGTTAGCGCTTCCCTTTTCCAATTTTAAGAAGTTCTGCTCAGTGCTAGTGTATATGTTCACCGATCACTTGAACTAGTAGACACACAATATAACAAAGGTACTGCTGTTTGACTGAGACCACCGAGCCACTGCTTCCACACACTCTGCCATCTTGCATCTAAACTCAAGATTTTCCTTGCCTGTGTCACCAAGTGATGGTAATTGTTGGGTCCCTGTAAATAATATTAATAGTACTGTCTAGACCTGTTAGAAAAGTGCAATGAGATAACTTCTGTTATGTGTGATTTCTGGGTCTGTCTTGGGGTAAAATTACTTCCTCTAAGGATAGGGACTTGAGACTTTCACCCTCAATAATAAACATGTGGTTCAGGTCAGGGAACAACCGTTGTCATGGTTAAAAGAAACCTACACTCAATATTCAATCATGAATTGTACATTTAGATACATTTAGATTCAAGTGGCCTTTTATTGTGGCCAAAGGCACACCGGTGCAATACCCATACTGTCTGATCAGCATCTTGATATGCCACACCTGTGAGGTGGATTGATTATCTCGGGAAAGGAGAAGTGCTCACTAACACAGATTTTGACAGAATTGTGAAAAATATTTGAGAGAAATAGGCCTTTTGTGTACATAGAGAAAGTCTTAGATCTTTGAGTTCAGCTCATGACGAATGGGGACAAAAACAAAAGGGCTGCGTTTATAATTTTGTTCAGTGTATTTCACTCTGCTAATGCCAGAGGGTGTATTTCCTTCTGTGAAATCCTTCTAAAATTAGATTAGTGTCATAGTTTTTTTTGTGTAATTTCTGTTTCTTATACTTACTGTGATGGCGGGTCCAGCGAAGGCCAGGCTGAGCAGCATCAGCAGGGGGATCACCTCGTGATTGGGGTCGATGTAGGGAAGGCTCAGGCTGCGGTCGTGGCAGTTGAAGCCAGACCTCACTGGCTTGAACACATCTGTCCACTCCAGAAAGTACAGACTGACCATAGACGAGACCAGGATGGGCAGCTATCAATGGACACGACGGGAAAAGACAGAAATAAAAAGTTACAAGAGAATTCAAAGTCATAAACAGCTGAGGCAGAAGGAGCTTTAACAGATTGCCAATGAATAAATAAATAGATAAGCAGGCAGTCAATGCTGCACATCTCCCCATAACCGTATGCTTCAATAAGCATGCTAATATAATTTGATGATTAGGACGATGGCATGGAAAGTAGTGACCTGAAGGGGGTGAGTATTGTGCTGGGAGTAATTGAAGATGGCATGTGGAATTAATTGCTTTCATAAACATCAAGTGTTCCCTCGGAGCTCAGCTCAGATCTAATGTAGGAATTCAACTATACCCACAAAAAAAATGAGAAACAGTTAGTTCACGTTTATTATAGCCAGCTTGAGGTTTTAAAATCATAAAAGACCAATCATAACACAGCAGTTTAATTCAAGCCAGGAAATCAAGTTAGAGTCATAAAGCCAGTGTTGAACTCTTTGTGGAGCAAATCAAAGTGCTTCAGTGTTCTGTGGAAGATAGACATGGATCTACTATGCAGAGGGATCGGTTGGTTATGTAAATTTCTGGTTTTCACATGCGGAATGGCTCCAGCAATTTCACTACTGACCTGTCACAGTGTCAATTTACTGTGTGCTATGAGATGTGTACTGAGAGAGCAGAACTCTTGAGCTGAGAGGACAGAGTCCAGACAAACTGTCTTCACCAGAGACACCAAAACTGTCAATCTGTTTCATGGACACAATTTTCACTAGGCCATATAATAGTTACATGTCACAAATATATAAGAGGACAGATACAGACTCCAGGAGGGCACCTGTTCATTTCAATAAAAGCTGATTTACTGAGTGCATATGCAAAAAGAGATTTCTCTCTTGCTTGTTCAATTCTGCCTTGTACAGCTGACTGCATTTGTGCATCAGTGGCTCTCTGATTTTCTTTATTCTGGCCTACCTCAGTCATCAATTTCTGCAACTTGTCCAGAACACTAGATTCCTAACCAGAACGAAAAATGTAATAACATCACTCCAATCCTCTACACTGGCTCACTATACATTTAATTTGCTATTTTCTTAGACATATACACTGGATTTCTTTCATTCAACCTGATTAAACAAAAATATGCCAATTTTAGAGCATTTTTATATCATGGTCCTCCCACTTAAATTAGCGCCTTCTTTGGAAGTCTGGACTAAAAAGCCACCTGTTCTCTTTGTCAGACAATACACAACTTAGCACAACCTACTTTTTGGTTCAATAACCTGTGTTTGAATCTGAATCTTACTGTGCACTTTATAGCTTTTAATCACCATTACTTTTTATGGTTACCTGATTAATAACAGTATCAATTAGATTTAGAAAATTACAGTAGACTTTTAAAAAAATATATCAAAATTCCATTCATCTGTCTTCTCTTATAATCTATCACTGCGGCTGTTGTACTGTATGTTACTACTTTGTTGTGTTTCTTTGTAAAGTGTTGATATGTGCGCTTAATATACAGTATCATGATTCACTTATCTCATGACCTGTCCCCACCGGCTTGGCCAATGGACTTTACATCAATATGATGTCAAGCACATAAATGCTACTTTGACAGTTTTAGAAATAAAACTTCATGGTTTAACATTTTATAATGGCGGTCAGTGGGGGAAATGCTTTGTGGGAAGCAGTGGATGTTCTTTGTGGCACAGCAAATGGCCATTTTGAAGAAGTGGCAGCATGGCCAACTCTGTCACACTGTATCTACATGTCTTAATGTATCCATGGGACTGCCACATTTTCGTGCTAGAACTGTGTGGGTGGTGATGGAGCAGTGGATAAGACACGTGCCTGTTAATTGATATGATTCTAAAGCATCAATTAATATTTTTTGCAAGAAAGGACTTATTGTTTTTTAAGTTGGAATGACATTCATCCTTGACATATCAGATCTCTTTTTCGCAGAAATAACACAAATAACACTTGTTTTATAACCTTCCATAAAAAAGCTTACAACATGGATAGAGGGAGAGATGGACTGAAATGGCACAACTAAGTCAAGCAAACGGGATCAATTTTAAACAAGGCCGGCAACATCACTGCATATCTCTTTGGGAAAACATGAGCACCTCTGACATACAGTATATCTCATTGACACAAGAAATGAAAACCCAATAACCATTTAACACACCAACATTCTGCAGTCCTGATGTGTCAAAATGCCTCCCCAAATATTTTCTAACAGCCCCCCAGGCTCTGTGGTGTATCATTAAAGCGTCAACAGAGGACTGCAGTGAGATGCATCAGTGGGAGCTGAATGTGGCCCGCAGCATCATGGGCTTTTATCATGCAGCTTTAATACTCCATCCATGATTCTCTGGTACACAGCGGCAGGCGCACTGCTCACTCAGCTAATGCTAAGTAGAGCTGCATGATGGAGAACGGCCCCACTAGGAGCCCAACACAGGGGTATCTCTTCAAATGAACACTGCCTGGGAGCTGACCCATTTATACATACACATTTGTAGGCACAAATACAACCACCCAGAGTGCCTCTGTTTGTAGACTTCCTTCCTTTTGTCTGTCTCACACTTCTGCCAGGGGTTACTCACTAACATACTAGTTTTCTTGTCTTTCCATCCTGACTTTCTATCATTCCCTCCTTTCTTTCCTTAGAAAGAGAGAGGTTTCAATTTTTAATTGTTAATCACTTTATTTAACATTAGTGGTAACCACAATTAGGATATTTGTACAGATGGGAGACATTAAAAAGAGAGGTTGAAGGAAGGCAAGAATAAGGAAACAAAAGGATGAAGGAGGTGTGGTTAACAAAATCCTACATGATATTTTAAGCCATATTCACAACCCACAAGAGTATTTAGAGAGCTCCTAACTTACAGTGGCAGTAAAGTCCTAAGAAGGAGCTCTAACTTTGGAAAGACATTCAGAGCAAGTACAAGAAAGTGTGTCATTGATCCCAGTGAAAGGTTAAAAGGTTGAAAGGTTGCTATGGCAACCAGCAGCCGGTAGCTCTTTGCTACATTTTTGTTTTTATCTGATTTTTGCGGCTTTATTGCCAAAATATATTTTACCTCTGACATAAATAAACAAAACAGTCATTGGAAGATGAAGACTGGGTTTTGGGATTAAAGAGCAGCAGACCACGATCCACCCGGCCCAAATAACCGGACCAGGTACCACAGCCACAGTCTCAGAGGAGAGGAAAGAGACCCAGGAGAGGAGCCATCTTGGCCCAGCTTGGATTTAATTCTGCTCCTAAAGATCCAGTCTGGACAAAATGGGACTTATTTTGACCAAGCAATGGAATTCAGAGACTGCTGTGCCCACATCATTACAGAGACCTGTCCCATCAACATCCTGTATCAAGCACTTAGCAGGTGGTCCATGTTCCGAGCTGCAGCGCAAGACGAGAGGAGGTAGACACTGTGTTTCACATCGATGATGCTTGGTGCACAAACCCAGTCAAGATGGACTCTGTTTCCCAAATGTCAGACTGTTTATTGTGAAGATGAAGATGGTTGCTGTTGTTTACACTCACCCCAGATGCAAATTCAAAAAATGCACTGTATATAAATGTGTTTTACGATGATGGTAAAATTACTTGTCAATCATTATTTGTCAATGATGTCTGGTTGCTTTGAGGAGAGCGATATAACAGCTGTTTCTGGTTAGACAAAAAGGATCGTACTCTTTAATAAAAAGGTCTATCCCTGTAGGGTAATTTCCATAATGTAGTGTGACACTTATAATAACAATCTGAGCCTGTCAGTGGCAAAAACAACCACTTTAGTGGACACATTGACGGGGCCCAGAAGGATAATATAGCAGCCTGTTGCGTGGCTGCGGGCTGCAGCGCTCTTACTCAATACTGGACCAATTTCTATTAGTTACCCAGACAAAAACATGGGGAAATTGTGTGCAGGTAGAAAAATACCTAGGTTTCCCTTTAAGTTAAAGGTTTTCTGCGGAGTTTTCTTGTATATAAAGTTTCTGTTCATATTCAGTGCTTCACATCAAAACACAATGTGTACATCCACGAGGTCTTGCAGACATGCTGAATGTATTTCCTTCGTCATAAAACATTTTTTAATTTAATTAATGCTTTAATTCTTCACTATGTTTACTAGCTAGCACTCTTCCTCATCTCTGTCTATTGTATCACCCATGTGCTCGATAAAGAAACATCAAAACATGGACCAACTCATACAAACATGGCTACAAAGTGCTACTTTGTAGCATGTGCTACAGTGGTCGTTAGTCCACATGGTAATTTCTAAAAACTGAATTGCTGATATCAGAGAACATCACTAAAAAGAAAAACAAACAAACATATTGATTGACTGACAAATAAAGTGGCTTAGATAACCTGGATAAACCGTTAACTGATCATCTAACTGCTCATGTTTGTTGACCCATCTGCAGGGACACTGAACGTCAGTCACAGTTTGGGGTGCTGAGAGAAGGTCAGTCTATATAATCACGTCATACTAAATGGTGCATATCATGTCATAGTTTATAATAATGCCTGGTTTTAAGGGGTGCTGCAGCCCACTCAGCACCCCCACTTTCTGCATCCATTCCCGACAGACTTTGTTTCTAGTGATGTCACCATGGTCCCAGATCTCAGCAGTTACTTTGAGTTGAGTACAACCTTATAATGGCTGAGAGAAATGATGGACAAAGCTGAGAAATTTAAACACTTGATTCCCCTTTTTTCAACAAACACCTGAACCACCTCTTCCTGTGATTCCTGCGGCCATTTTGTTTTTTGCTTATACACTAAAGTTCCCTTCCTCACTCTGACAACTGCTTTCTTGAGCGATATGCTTTATGAATAGTTATTTTTAGGTTAAGATTTACTTTTTTTAGGACCAGGAGGCTTTGTGAAATATGGCCTTAAATTTATTTCAAATGAATGGAACTCTATATCTGCATGAATTATCACTGATCGAGTCATCTTCAAATATTTGTTTGTTGAAGAACTTTTTAACAAAAA